CTAGTTGTAGAATTTCCACTCAGTCAGCCTTCCTGTGGTTCTGGATGATGTCCGTTCCATCTTTTAGTTGTATTTTTGAAGTGGTTGTGTGAGGCAGCAATCTCCGGTGTTTACCTATGCCGCCATCTTGGTTTCCAAGCGCTACAAACTTCTTAGTACTGCTTTCATAAGTTTTGATGTTGTACTTTTATTTTTGTTTGTTTCCAGATATTTTCTAAGTTCCCTTAGATTTTTTTGACCTATTGGTTGTTTAAGAATGCATTATTTCCTTGACATTGGTCTTAACAATGATTTGTTAGATCTGACACAAAAAGCCAAGGCAACAAAAGCAAAAATAAACAAGTGGGACTACATCTAACTGAAAAGTTCTTCCAGGAAGATACCGTGACTAGAGCAGGCTGGAGGAAGTGGGTAAGGGGTGTCCGCAGGCTTCCCTGCTCTCTGGGGCAGATTGCAGTTAGCCTCTAGATCAGTGATGGCAAACCTTTTGAGCCCGGCGTGTCAGCATTTTGAAAAACCCTAACTTAACTCTGGTGCCGTGTCACATATAGAAATTTTTTGATATTTGCAACCATAGTAAAACAAAGACTTATATTTTTGATATTTATTTTATATATTTAAATGCCATTTAACAAAGAAAAATAAACCAAAAAATGAGTTCGCGTGTCACCTCTGACACGCGTGTCATAGGTTCGCCATCACTGCCCTAGATGCTTGCTATGTTAGAAACCTGATCAGGCAGTATCTTTTAAAATATGTGAATAGGTCCCTTTTAGAGAAATATTAGGAATTTTTTTTTTTCCTGCTCCCTCTTTGCTGAGCCCTGGGGATATGGCTGGGATAAGAACTGGTTCTTGCCTGGCTGTGGTGGCTCAATGGTTGAGCATATGAACCAGGAGTCCATGGTTCAGTTCAGTTCAATTCCCGGTCAGGGCACATGCCTAGGCCTCGTTTGTGCGCTTGAACCCCACTGGGAGATGGGCGGGTGCAGGAGGCAGTCAGTCAATGATTCTCTGTCATCATTGATGTTTCTTTCTCTCTCTCTCCCTCTCCTTTCCTCTCTGAAAAAAAAAAAAATAAATAAATAAAAGAACTGGTTCTTTGTTTGCTATGGTCCTGTGGGACTCGTGAATGGAAGCTCATTGGTTACCAGAGCCAGATCTGGGGACATGTCCCTTGGGTGGCAGCACAAAAGCTGTTGTACAGATGTGTGTATTAGCTCCTTCCAGGGAGATACTGGTGACTTGGAGTGGCCTCAGGAGAGAAGGTTGAAAGGTGTCTGCCAGCTTCCTTAGTCTCCAGGAAGACTTGCAGTTGGCTCCTAGACATATTAAATTAGAATTCTGACCTTAGGCAGTATCCTTTAAACTGTGCAAAACTGGGAGCTGGACATTTTTTGCCTGCTCCCTCTGCACTGGGGAGATACCTGCAGGGAATGTTTCTGCCCGTTAACGACTGCTTTTTTGTTTGCTGTAGTCTTGTGTGTCTCATGGACAGCAAAACTGTTGGCTTTCAGAGCTAGGACCGCTCATGCTCTCATGCCCTTGGTGTCTGTGTCCATTGGTTACGCTTATAGGCATACATACAAGTCCTTTGGTTGATCTCTCCCCTGTTATCCCCACCCTTCCTACCTTCCCTCTGAGGTTTGAGCATCTGGTTGATGCTTCTCTGTCTCTGGATGTTTTTGTTCATCACTTTATGTTGTTCATTATATTCCACAAATGAGTGAGATCTTTTTTATCAGTTTCATTTTGAAGTTTATATTGCTGTTTCTTTAAGTTCACTAATCTTTTCTTTACCATGCCTAATCTTGGGGTGACTTTGGGGGGGCTTTGTTACTTTAGTCAACCTGGTAGGGACTACTAAGATTCAATTATTTATATTTATTAATGTTAGTGTGACTGTCTTTGTAGGGATAGAATGATAAAAGTAGAAAAATATGGGTTATATATCTTTGGAGAAATGTTTTTTTTTTAAATATGTTTTTATTGGTTACAGAGAGAGGACCGGAGAAGGAGGAGGTATAGAAACATCAATATGAGAGAGAATCATTGATCAGCTGCCTCCTGCACACCCCCTACTGGGGACCAAGCCTGTAACCCAGGCTTGTGCCCTGACAGGGAATGGAATCGTGACCTCCTGGTTCATAGGTCGGCACTCAACCACTGAGCCACACCAGATGGACACCTTAGGAAGGTGAGTGAACAAATTCTATTAAGTTCAGCCACATCTGTAGAAAGCCATTTTTTCATTATATTACTGCTTAAACTTGGAAGTTCAAATACTGGATAGTTTACAAAAGACAATACAATTGTATAAAAGCTGGGGGGCGGGAATCAATATAATACACTGCAAGCTATGCAGGGTGATGGAATACGATGCAAAAGCAGGGGAAATCATATGGTTAACACAGTTGGAGGAAATGGGGGAAAAGACAAAAGAGAAAGGAAGTTCTCATAGCAGAGACAACATCTTAGTCATCGTTATACACCCGTTAGGGAAAATAGACGACGTAAACACATTTATTGAGCACCTCCTATATACCAGGTATGGTTCCATATCCTTTAGTTTTTATAACCTCACTTCAAAGCAGTTATTAGTATGTTTTCAGAGGAAACATAGTCAGAAAATTTAGGTAGCTTGCCCAATGTGTGGTATACAATGTGTTTCATACATCAGTTGTTGAATCAATATCATCTGAATAAATGAGTACATATTTATTCAAATGAAATATATCTTGTGAATTTTCTTTGTTGTGCTTCTTTATAATGTTTCTAGGAAAATGCTAAACTCCTAACTACAGGCTATGTATGCAGTAATAACAACAGTGACAATAATGGCTGCAACACATAGAGACTTCTTGTTTTATTTATGTATATGAACTAATTTAATCATGACTTAATACAAGCTTTATTCCTCATTTTACAGATGAGGGAACTGAGATGTAGAGAGGTGAAATAGCTTGTTGGTAGTGAAGCTAGGATTTGAACCAGGCTGTATCTAACACCTCTTGCTGCTTTTCTTCATTGTGGCTCACTCAGATGAAGGTTTCCTTAATTTCTTCTTTCAGACCTATTACAACCACTTTGGCAAGAATTCCCAGCTTTTTCTATTGTAGAAAAGGCAAATTGAAATCATGGAGTGAAATACAAGTCTCTTCTGCTTTCATATGGCAGGGGAGATGAACATAAGTCAACCTTGCTTTTATGTCCCATGCTGGAAGATATGTACTATATACTGTACTGTCCCATTACAGTATATAAATGTACCGGAATTGCCTGCCTGAATAAGGGCAATATGTGTATCTAAAATTGAATAAAAAGCTGGCAGGGCCTGGGCACCAGTGAAGCCTTTCCTCTTGAGAAAGACTCTCTGCCTGGCCCCCTGTAATTTCCAAATTCATATTTCCTGTCTAGTCTCTTCATTTGTGCACGGCCCTTCTCCAGGTCCCGAACCCAAGCCATGCAGGACGCGGCTTTCACAGTCCCAGATTACTACGTAAGCATATGAGGAAATAAAACAATTTATAGAGCTACAATTCAAATGGTCAAAAGACATGAACAGAAAATTCACAAAAGAAAACCAAGATGCCAATATCTTTATTTAAATATCAACTTTTGCTAGACTCATTTTTGTTTTTATCTTTTTACCTCGAGATTGGGAAACTTTAAAAAAGATTGATGTGGCTGAAACTGGAGAAGGGCAATAAGGATGTGAGGGGATGAAGGACAGTGAAAAATTAGTGGAACTGATGGATTATAGGTTCCGGTGAGGCTGAAATAATGCTGGAGTTGTGGCCTGAGAATGAAATGAACTTGAAGGACAGGAGCTAGTGATAAAATTGGATTTTAAAATTGAGAATGTGAAGAATTTGAATTTATTGATAATGACAAGGTCTAGAGCAACATAGTACAAATGAAAATATAATGTGAATTATGTATGTAATTTGAAATTTCCTAGTAGGCACATTAAAAAAAACAAGTAAAATTAATTTTATTTAACCCAATATTACTAAGAGTAACCTTTCAACATGTAATCAATAGATTATTTATGAGATATTTTATATTTTTTTACATAGCAAATCTTTAAAACTTGATGTGTATTTTACACATTTCAATTTAGATTATTCACAATTCAAATACTGACTAGTGGCTACTGACTATTATTTCAGACAGGTCTAAAGTATGACCATGGGAATAAGTGGTAGAGAGACCAGGGTGCTGGAAGGATCACCTATGTGAATACTGGAATCATCAAGAATGTACTGCCACTGAAAAGAATGTGTTGGTATATGTAATGAGTTAGAAAGATCTCCAAGACATATGGTTAAGTGCAAATTTTCAGCATAATATGTATGGATAATAAAATTTATTTTAAAAATATGTAACAAAAGAAAACTGCAAGAGGCATGCTAACTTGATAGTGGTTACCCTGAGAATAGAGTAGAAATAGGATGAAGTGGGAGAGCAGGAGGACTTTTCAAGTCTTGTTCTATATAGCAAATATATATACAAAAGTAGGTTTATAGTTGCTCATATGGAAAATAATGCAATTAATAAATAATAATACAAGTATTCTCTGTGTTCGCATACTCACAACTGTAAACCCACTTTTGCCCCACCTTGTATATATATTTTTGGATCATTTGAGTATCTCACAATGAGAAAGTATTCATGTAGTCATATACTAATTTTTTAAGAGTTAAAATATGAATACTATTGATCTAGTTATCTGTTTGACTTGATTACCCCTGTGCCTCCTTCGCCCCACCCCCAATTACTTGCCCTTTCCTTAGAGTTTCAAGTATCATAAATTATTCTGAGAATACGAAGCTAGATGGCTAGTCTTTGTTTTTTCATTAGCAAAAGAGTACACCTATTTTATTTTGTTATATATGATGCCATAATCACCTTACTAAGAACTCCATTTCTGCTTTGGGTTGCTTGAAGCTTCAGATGCTCAATCTTTAATCTCACTATGAATATGGTTAAGACAAGGAGAATGGGCTGTGGGGTTCCATTCTGTATCTTTTCTTTTCATCAGTGTTTATTCCTAAAGTAAGATAAATGTGTAGCTCAGGAATGCTCTAGCAGACTTAAAGATGCATGCTTTGATTTCTTCCTTCAGATTTTAAACTTGTGGAGGGTAGGGACTGAATCTTTGTACTCCTGGTGCCTGTATAAATGCATAGCCAGTAGGCACTCAATATATGTTCTTTAAACAGCACAGTGAAAAGAATGTGTTAACTATAAGAAGCTAGCTGAATCAGAGTTTAGAGTGAAGGAATGGGCTGTATGCTATTTCTGTATTTTGCTTTCTTATAAACTTTCAACTTCTTAAAAATTTAGGTCAAATGTCACTTCTTCTCTATAGTTTTCCCTTCTGCCCAAATAGTTAATATCCACATCCTCAATGTGCCCACAGAATTATGTGTATACCTCTCAAACTCTCTCATGCTGTGTGTTCATATGTTTAATTTATCTTCTAATTGTGAGTTCCTTCTGGATAAGGACCATTTCTTATTATATGTAACACAGTGCCTGAGAGGCAGTTGTTGCTCAATAAATGTTTGATGAATGACAGTATATAAATGTACAGATCAGAACTTGAAGCCTAAACCCATTTCCACATACAATGAGGAAGAAAGAAAAAACTTACATTTATTTATTGAGTTTCTGAATATTTATTGAGAACCTGCTATACACTAGGCAAAAGAACAGAAACAAATTGTCCAGAGTTACTTTGAACTCTTTCAGCAATACCTGAGTCCTCACCATAAAAAAATCCATTCACTACTTGGTTAATCTTCATGTACAGTTTTCTCTAACGTACTCTGAAATACTGCATAATGTTGTATACCCTGGTATATTCCAAAGACTATCTGAAAGGCTAGAGGAATCAGCATTCCTTTTATATCTGTTTGACAAAGCATCAGCCAGTGATGTAAAACCCTTCCTTTTGGTGGCAGTGGAACAGTATGGTACCTAAAAAGGAAAAATAGGTAAGTACTTCTGGATGCATATTCTATGAAAAATTTGATTTTTCCTAAACTGATCATTTCTATTCTAGGTCTTTCATGTAGCTAGCAAAAAAGGTTAACAGTTAGCTATCTAAAATGATTAAAATGTGTCCATGGCAGCTAAAGAATAAGGAGACTTTACATATATATATATTTTTTTTTTTTTTAAAAAACAAGTAAGGAAGAGAAGGAATAGACAGACTTACTTTACTGCCAGACGTCCATTTTTAGAAAAAGCCAAACCAGTTGGATATAAAACACCACATACTATGCCAACAAGTGAACTTCTCAGAGCACATTCTTCCACGCTTATATTACCTGGAAAACAAAAGTAAATTTGATCTCCCTTTAAAACTCAGGATAAACATTAAGAAAGTCGTGTGCCCTCAAAGAGTAGTTATCTGCACTGTCCTCAACCACAGTGAAATAGTAGGAATAATATTAGAAATTCAGTCTACGGCATACGACTGACTAAATGCACCATGTCTTAAAAGTGCTTTTATCACACTTTACATTAGGAAAGTTATCTCTTAGATATATGGTTGCTGCAGAAACAACTTTATATTAAAGAATTAAACTAGCTCACCAGACCTCTGGATTCTAGGTTAATACATTTTTATTGTCTAGGTGTCAGACATATGCTAAGTGCTAGGGGTACAGTGTTGCATAAAAGAGACTCAATATCTAACCTTCAGGCTAGTCAATCAGGAAAGAAAGACATTTGACAAATACTTATAAATAATTTTAAGGGTGCACAATGCAGCTTTGAAGGTAAAATGTATAGAGAATGTATCTAGAAACCTTGAGGGAATCAGAGAAGGTTTCCCTGGGGAAGAGAGATTTAAGCAGGGATCTAATGAACAGGGGTGAGAGGTTCCATCAATTACTAGATGTGAAACTTAAGGTAATGGGAGGAGGCAGGAAATAACATTAGAAGCCCATAATATACCAGATACTATGTTAGGCATTTAACATACACAATCTTAATTCTCACAATCCTGTGAGGTAAGTATTATTAGTCCTAATTCATAGATAAGACTCAGTTGAGTCTCAGATTAAGTGACTTGCCCAATGTCACAAAATTCAAGGAGTTAGGATCTGAAATTGTGTGTAATCTGCCAAAGCTGCTTTTTTCTCAGTATATTATGCTGCTTCTTAGATTTGAACATGTCTCTGTTTTTGCTGCTTATCTGTAAGAAAGACTTGCCCTGTCTGATTAGGAGGTCTGTTGTGGGACCTCCTGAAATAGGACAAGATATGTGAAGGTACTTTGTAAGTGGTAAAGCAATACACAAATGTAAGGGATTATTATTAGCAGTAGCAACAGTATATGTTAATGAGTAATTTTACTGAGACATGAACACATTATACTTTAATGAATTTAAATTTACCTGAATACAAAGCATCTGTAACAAGGAGCTTATACGTAACTAAGGTAGACAAAAATGGAAGTGTAGTCAATGATGCATATGTCTTCAAAGCATCATGTTTAACCTTGAAGCAGTGTCTGAAAAGGAAGTTTGCCAATATTCCAGAGAAACCAGCTGCTGTTCCAACGAGCAGTGTCCCACGTATATTTAAAGTACTAATGGAAAAACAATAATCAAGGTTAACATATTTTCCTAATGGAAGTATCTTTTCTCAGGTAGTCATTTGTTATTACATATTTACTCAGCATCAAATATTTCTGAACACTTACTATATGAAACGTATTTTCTACATGCTGAGGATAGGGCAGTGAATAAAGAAAAAAATCCTACTCCTCATGGAACTTTCATTCTAATCAGAGGATATAATTCTCTTTCTGAGAATATTTACAGTGGTTCTAAAATGGAGCTCTTTTAAAGAGAGAATACATTTTGGCCACAAAGAAATATGAATATGTTCCGATGTAGCCAAATTTTATATGTAAATCCAAGAATACGGCTCTTAAGGTCATCTGAATAAAAAAGTTGCTTATATTTGGTTACGTCTTCTAGAAAATAACTAGTTTTTAATTAGTCCAGGTATATTTAAAGTAATTTGTCGAGGATTTCCAAAACTTCATCCAAAGAGATTTGCTAGATCTAGTTTTACTTATTCTAACCCATACCCAAATCCAGAAATGTATAAGGTATATGGTCAACATCTTTGATTTTATTTTGGAGCTCTAAAAATCTAAAAGTCAAAATGGTAATGTGAAACTATATGTACATCATAGAATCTATATTCCTGTTTGTTGAACTCAGCACTGTGGTTAAGGTAATCAATTCTAAACTGAATTTAATCACAACTGATCAACAATGAAATGTAAGTAGCTTCCAAATGGTATTCTCCTAATTAAAAAAGTTTTTTAAATCCTCATTTGAGGATATGTGTTGTTGTTTTTTTTTAAATTGATTTTAAAGAGAGAGGAAGGGGGAAAGAGAAACATCAATTGATTGCCTCCTGTACGTGCCCAACCATGGATCGAACTTGCTTGCAACCTGGGTATGTGTTCTGACTGGAAATCGAACCCACAATCTTTTGGTGTACAGGACGACTCTCCAACCGAGCCACACTGGCCAGGCTTTCCTAATTACTTTTAATTTTTAAATGTTTATTGCACAAATAACATTTCAATAACAATTTTGGCCATTTTTTAAGAAGCAAAAGTAATTATCCACAGTTCCAATATTCTAACAGACCACTATTTTCATCTACCCATGTTTTTCTCCATTTTTTAAAAAAAATAAGTTTTTTTTTCTTTTTGTTTTGTTTTATTGCTTAAAGTATTACAAAGGGTATTACATATGTCTCCTTTTTCCCCCCAATAAGTTTTCTTCATAACCAACTCAATAAAGTTAAGAGAATCTTAGATATTCAGAAACAACAGAAATACAGATCTGCAGAAAAAAGTAATTGATTTTCAGTCTGCGTGTGTCTCTTACTTTTCTTTTCTAAGATACTCAATTTTTTTTTCTATGATTTCAATGACCATGGGTCCGAGTTCTTTATCTCTTAGAGAGGGGCTGAGTTGACCACGTGTGTATGTTGCCATCTTGATGTCCTGGAAAACACAAAATTGGAGAACCATAATAGCTAATGATATTAATATTAAACCTTATAAATCCTACAGATTCCGATTAAAAAACATTTAGACTCTAGTAATGTGTCAAGTATTATCATCTGCTTTTACCTACTTCGTTAATGATTCAATCAACATTTAGTGAACTCTTACTCTCTGCTAGACAGTGGCTTTTTTGATTCACACAATAATTTTGAAAAGTTGGTAGGACAATAATCATCTCCAGTTTTACAGATGAGAAAAATAAGGTTCAGAAAGGTTGACTTGCTTCAGGACATAGTATAGAAGGATAACTTACTGAAATATTTTTGTTTTCCTTATAGTTTTCCCAAAGGTAGCCAGGCCCTTTGCAGTTCTTGCTCTAGCTTTATCAGAGCTGGAAGAAAACAGTAGCTACTTCTTGACAACAATCTCTATCCTATGAAAGAGATTGAAAGCCTGCGCTCATTTTGGAGCTTATGTTGAGTTTCCTGGAGAGATGGGAGAGAGCAGGGATTGCCTTGGAGAACAGTGAGAGAGAACTTCAGAAAGAGGGGCAGTGTTCCAGGCTAGGAAGAGACAGTGGATCACGGCTCCAGATAATATAAGTAATATGTCCGGCTTCTTAGTAGTACCCAGGGTGAAGCAGGGACTTGACTGGAAACTGCTGTGTGGCACACCAGTGAGCCAGGACCCATGGCACTGGGCTCTAGGCTGGAAGGTTCCTGTGTCCCAGGTGTGATGTATGAAGAGATGGCTGTCAATGTCAAGGGACCACGAGGGTTTGGCCAATAGCATCTTAACAGAAACCAGTGGGAAAACAAAATAAAACAAAAAACTAGATTCTCAGAAAGGTTCCTTTCTGAATGTTGTGTTCTGGGTAAAACTCTCAGATCACCATGAAAATTTTAAATAAAAACATTTATTAAATCTTTTGCCACACAAGCATTATGAGACTCCAGGTTAGCCAATGAATAGATGTTAAAAATCCATGGCCCTTCACAATTTATACCAACCTCCACATTAGCAACATTAAACTTAGCCAAGGGCACAGACTAAATCTCATATTTCAGGAGTACAGGGCAAGAGAATTAGAGTGGATTGAGTATAATAACACAGAAGATACTTAATAAGTCAGTGATTCTCAACATTTAGTGTGCACAAGAATCACATTGGAAATTTATTCCAAATGCAGTCTCTTGAGCTTCCTGAGATATGTGGATTCAGTGGGAGTAGAGCAGCCGTGGGCAAACTACGGCCCGTGGGCCGGATCCGGCCCGTTTGAAATGAATAAAACTAAAAAAAAAAAAAAGACCTTACCCTTTTATGTAATGATGTTTACTTTGAATTTATATTAGTTCACACAAATACTCCACCCATGCTTTTGTTCCGGCCCTCCAGTCCAGTTTAAGAACCCATTGTGGCCCTCAAGTCAAAAAGTTTACCCACCCCTGGAGTAGAGTGAAGCCTAGAAATCTTCATTTTAGTAGCACCAGTGATTCTTTTCTGTTGTAGTTAATCCTCACCCGAGGATATTCTTCCATTGACTTTTAGAGAGAGTGGAAGGGAGGGGGAGAGACAGAGAGAAACACTGATGTGAGAGAGACACGTTGATTGGTTGCCTCCCACACACGCCCCAACCAGGGCTGGGGATGGAGCCTGAAACTGAGGTGCATGCCCTTGACCAGAATCGAACCTGGGACCTTTCAGTCCATGGGCCAAACCAGCTAGGGCCCAGTTTTTCTTTTTATGTTGGTAGTCGATGGACACATGTTGAACATCACTGTAATATTCACTTACTGAATAAGTGATATGCAGCAGTACTAAGCCTAACTAATGAAAGGCCAGGCCAATTCATCTCTGGTATCAGTATCCTGAAGATATGGGCTCCTTTGACCTTTGGTGTATGGTATTACACAATGATAATGGGCCAGTTTCCTTCCCTGCATCATTACAGACTGTACTCAGGGAGTTCTACTTTCTTTTTAAAAATATCTGGGGAGGACAGGGAAAAAATTACAAATTACAATTTCTCAAGGACTAGACTTAATCTTTTGCCTCCCTCTGACATCTAAATGGGAAATGGAAGAGAAGAGATAGTAATATCTGAGGGAGGTCTATAATGTTCTAGGAAGGCAGATGTCAGTAACATGATAATCAGGAACCTTGGGTAAATTTATGTTTTGCTATCGTCTAACTCACTGAAATTCCTTACTCCCCACAAAGAAAACTTCCAGGCAATGACATGTATCATCCTTCTACCTTGTCTACATTCTTAGTATGTAGGGAACACAGACACCAGGATTATAATCCTAAAAGACTCAAACAGTTCAGCAAATATTTGAGTGCCTAATCTTTGGAAGGCACTGTTATTAAAGCAAAAATAGATTGGCAACTTTCTGATAAACTTTTAACAAGTATTGAAATGTAACGATTTTGCTATAACCAACATTTTATATCAAAATTAGTCCAAGGCCACTCAATATACTAGAAAGTGTGAATTTATAAAGGTTTATAGTTTGCAAAGTATTTTATGGTTATGTAGTGCTTGTATTGTACTATGTTACCTGACCTTCAGTTTTATACCACATTCATTCATTTGATAGCCCCTGAGATAATCAAGATGTAGTCATGTCCTCAGGAATCCACAACCCAGAGGGAGGTCAGGACAAACAGGCAGGTAATTTAAACGGAATGAATCCTATATAATAAAAGGCTAATATGCAAATTGACCAAAGGGCGGAACGACAGTCACTATGACACACATTGATCACCAGGGGGCAGATGCTCAACTCAGGAGCTGCCTTCTGGTGGTCAGTGCACTCCCACAGGGAGAACGCCGCTCAGCCAAAAGCCGGGCTCATGGCTGGTGAGCGCAGCAGCGGTGGTGGGAGCCTCTCTCACCTCCACGCAGCCCTAAGGATGTCCAACTTAGGCCCACTCCCAGTCAGTTGGATATCCCCCAAGGGCTCCCAGGCTGCAAGAGGGTGCAGGCCGGGCTGAGGGGGCTCCCCCCCCCAAGTGCACAAATTTCGTGCACCAGGCCTTTCGTGCAGTGGTTCTCAACCTGTGGGTCGTGACCCTTTTGGCGGTCGAACGACCCTTTCACAGGGGTTGCCTAAGACCATCCTGCATATCAGATATTTACAATTCATAACAGTAGCAACATTACAGTTATGAAGTAGCAATGAAAATAATTTTATGGTTGGGTCACAACATGAGGAACTGTATTTAAAGGGCCAGAAGGTTGAGAACCACTGCTCTAGTGTGTCATAAAGACAAAACAAAAAACATAAGAAAGCCAAATTTAACCTAGCTTGGAAAGTGTGGAGAAGGTTTTCCATAGTAAGTGACATTTAAACAAATACTGAGCCCCAGTAGGGTAGCTCCGTTGGTTAGAGTGTGGTCCCATAGCCAAGGTTATGGTTCAATCCTGGTCAGGGCACATACAAAAATCAACCAATGAATGCATAAATAAGTGGAACAAATCCATGTTTCTCTCTCTCACCCCCATTCTCTCTCTAAAATTGTGGTAGGCGGTTAGACAGACATGAGCAGAGCAAGGATGATGGGCCAGGTATAGAAGGTCACTAGGGTGGAAAGCCCTACGTCCGTGGTCGGCAAACCGTGGCTCGTGAGCCACATGGGGCTCTTTGGCCCCTTGACTGTGGCTCTTCCACAAAATACCATGTGCGGGCGCGATACAGTGCGGATTGAAACTTCGTGGCCCATGCGCAGAAGTCGGTATTTTGTGGAAGAGCCAGTATTTTTTGGAAGAGCCACAGTCAAGGGGCCAAAGAGCCGCATGTGGCTTGCGAGCCGCGGTTTGCCGAGCCACAGTTTGCCCATCACTGCCCTAGGTAGTAGCAAGGGACAATCAACTGTAGGGTGGGACTTCGCTCAGGGTGACTTTTCTTCCCCTAGCTGACAGTGATGGCAAACCTATGACACGCGTGTCAAAGGTGACACGCGAACTCATTTTTTTGGTTGATTTTTCTTTGTTAAATAGCATTTAAACATATAAAATAAATATCAAAAATGTAAGTCTTTGTTTTACTATGGTTGCAAATATCAAAAAATTTCTATATGTGACACGGCACCAGAGTTAAGTTAGGGTTTTCCAAAATGCTGACTCGCCGAGCTCAAAAGGTTCGCCATCACTGCAGCCTAGCATGTTGGTCACGTGGTTTGGACCCCCTGACCTCTCCTCCCTGTAGATAATATCTATGCTTGTTGTATTTCAGCTTCAGGCCCAGATCAGCTACAAAACCAGCCCAGGCTGAAGCTGGGACCAGCTGCATGGAATGACCCCCTATCCTGGTGCCGCCAATCGATCAGTGGAGTGCACAACCCTGAGAGGACACACCGGGAAGCCGCTGACTCTCCTATTGAGATCTTCTCCCGGGTCCGCCCCTCAACTCTCCACCCTTCAAACCCTCGGGACAGGGCCCGGCTGCTCTCCCTGCAGGAGCAGCAGAGCCTTTCCCTTCCCTTCAGCTTCCTCACGCCCACGCTGCAAGGGCCCTTCCTTTCCCTCCATAACTTGTTTCCTAAGCCCATTTCTCCCAGGAATTGCTTCTTTTACTTCTGTGATTTGCCAAATACATGTTCTTACAGTTTGGGTCTTGCTCTGAATTCTTTCCTAGCCAGAACCCAAGTCCCGAGGTTGTTGCACCCTGGTTTTGGTTTGACCTGACCCCAAGGGTCTAACACCCAGTGCGGCTGCCTATAAGAAAATCGATCCAACAATACAGATGTAAGTTGGCAGGGGCTGGGGTGGGAGGAGGTGCTGGGAGTTATTCCAAGTTGAAGGCGAGGCCCCCGCAAAGGCTCAGGGGCAAGAGAAAACAAGCGGCAAGCGGTCAAGACTAGACTTGAGGTCTCCTACTTTCTCTCGGCCTCTTTCCAGGGCAACTGGGACGTCATTGAAAGACCCTTGCCCTTGGGAGCTGTTCTCTAGATTTTCAAACCCTTTGTACTTGCATCATTTCAGAAGGGTCCGCCAACACAGTGAGGCTGCAGAAACCATGGTCCCAACCACCCCGGGTCTCCGCCTACCTTGGGCATTTCCCCAGCTCCCACCGGCACCACACCTTTCCCTCGCGGGTCTGCCCCCGCCTCGCGCCCGGGCGCCGCCATCTTGGAGCTCACGTGACCGGCAGGTGGGCGGGGCCCCGGCGCCGGGGTGGGCGGTGTCGCCGGCTCACGCCTCTCTCTGGCGGTCCCGGCCCGCCCCGACCCAGTCAAAAGCCGCGCCCTCCATCCTGGCGGTGATTGGGCGCGGCGGCCCGAAATGACGGCTGCTCATTGGCTCCGAGGAGGCCCAGCCGCCCGTAGGCCCGCCCCTCCTGCCAGCCCTGCATTCCCCAGCGCGGCTATTCGTCAGCCGCGCTCCCTCTCCCACCTGGAGGGGAACGTGGGGCGTGGCGAACACGGGGATGTAGCTGCGCGTTTTCCTCTCCTCTGGGCTCCTCAGCTGGGGCGAGCTGCCCGCCCCTCTCATTCCTGGAAGGAGCTCGCCCCTCTGGCCTGGACCATGTATTAAGGCTCCCGCTTCTCGGGCTCTTCCTCCCCTGAGCCCCCCACGGCCGCCAGGGCATCTCCGACTGGCCTCCTCCCCTCGCCGCGGTCTGGCTCCTCTCCCCCGTCTCTAGTGCCCTCATATTCCATCCTCTCACTCCGCGCAGAAAGGGACCGGAGAGGCAGTTGCTCCCCACCTCCCGAGAAGACCCCCTGGCCAGCCAGTGTTTGGGGCGGGGGGCGCAGCGAGGAGGCCTGGCGCCCTTTTGCTGCACGTTCTGTGCCCAGCAGTGTCTCCCAGACCAGCAACCCCCGACCCTCCAGTCTCCATGTCTTAGAGGAGCCAAATTCGAGAGTTATATAATTTCTAGTGCTGCTGTTCCTCCTGCCTGAGGAAACCCTTCATCTCATGGAGGGTGCAGGACATCTCTGAGCTCTTCTTCTCTATCAGGACGGGGTGTGGGCAGGGGTGGCAGAGATTGCCTGTCTTTTCTGCAAAAGGAAGGTGGGTCGTTTGGAGAGAGATTGAGAGGAAGGGTGGAGGTGGAAGCCAAGCGGCCGAACTCTCTCTCCTGTAGGAAATCGCCAGCCCTGTGCACAGCTGGTGCTCACATGCCTAATACTACAGCGTCTCCGAAAACACCTTCGCGGGAAGGGTTGGCGGCTCTGGACCGGTCCCGGCGCTTTTCCTCGCTGGGCAGGCAGCTGCCTGGACGCGAAGAGATGGCACGATGTGAATGAATGACTCCAGGGTGAAGAGACCTGCTTCGCCAACTCATCCTGCATCAAGTGCCCCCGGAGTAGCACGGTCACTGTAACGCCTACGTGCCAGGGGATTGCTTTCCTGCTTTTCAATCCTCTCGGTTAATACATGGGAGGATCAGAATCAGAGGGGGCATTAAGGATCAAGCCCGAGGGGCTCGGAGAGGACAGAAGGAAAAAAATGAAAGTGACAGCAAGCTGGATCCTGCCTTACTGAGGGGTGAGATCTGGAACTTGTGGTCCAGGGAACGGAAAGGGGCCTTTCAGTCTGTGATCTGCTCCGGAAAACTTCAAACTCACCCACCCTTTTAGAGATCAGAGTCAAAGAGGTTTTCAAAAGT